GAGAAAGTGGCTGGTAATGAGGGAACGTGCTCTCCCACTAGGATCTTAATTGCAAGTGAATTATTTCTAGATTTGTGGCCAGGGCAGAAAGAGGCTCTGTTAATTCAAGGCACGTGGGCAGTGACTACGCTTCTGTGTGTCCCCAGACATTGTCCAGAAAGAAGTAAATGGAGCTGTTAGTCCAGAGCATTCACTTTGCATCGATGCATCTGTGCCGAAAATAAAGCAGGCTGTGCTTACTTTTAAAGTGCCCGAGCATTCTTTTCACTCCTATGTTGCGTGTCAAGCCATTTATGGGGAGAGTTGTTGATGCTGGGTTTTGAGCTAGCTGTCATTGACCAAAAATGACTGCTAAGCCTTCTGAATTTTAGTGGGAAGACGTGTTTGTCTGCCAAGCAGCCCACTTTTATCAGTGCGTGTACTGCTATTTTAATGATTGGAGAGTAAACAAGTTCCGCCTGCCCTTCAAAGGTGTTTGTTTTAAATGGCATTGGCAAACTGCTTTGTCCAAGGGCGGTGTTAGAGCAGCTTTCGGAGACTTGCTGAATTCAGTTTGAGGAGGCTTGAGCCAAAGCCATGGGGCAGGACTCAAATACAGGAATCCTTAGTTCTATCGTAGGTCAGATTTTTAAAGTTGTTTCTTTTGGAGCTGCAGTGTGTGGGAAGGGGGAGAATAGAGGATAAACAAGGTAGATCTTAGGTTCGATTTGAAGGATGGTGGCAAAGGTCTCCCTTTAAGATGCAATTAGTTCTGTGCCCTGCGTGGTTGAAATTTGGGTCAGCCCCAACCCGAGGAATCCAGCTAATGAAAATCAGTCTGAGCAGGGGCCTGGAAATCTGGTATAAAAGGAACCAGTGGGGAGGTGTGTGATGGAACTGAAAAAGGCCACGAGTTGAAAGGATAACGTGAAATGGTTGGTATGGCAACACGCACAAAGAAATGTTAAAAAAACCCTGAAAAAGGTCAGTTGCAGAACAGCTTAATGAATAATACTTATTTGGAAGTTAGTCTACTGCTGGTTTATGGCCACGGAACAAATGTGCTGAATACCTGGTTATCTATGTCTTGTTTGGGCTGTTTATTTGTATTTCATACTGTTGCCACACTCACTCTGAGAGTGTGGCTGGCTGTACCAATGATTCTAGGGCTGTAGTCCTTGTTTAGATACAACTGAGATAACAGTGATTGTGATAATCAATAATAGGAAGGGGAGGGGGAAGGTGCAAACTCTTTCATTAAATATGCTTCTAAAGAAAGTTACCTGTCTTACTACCTGTTCAACCTAGTATTTTTCATTTTTGTCTCATTTATTCCAAATAGAAGTTGGCAATAAAGAAGGCAGCTAAAACTTCTATAGAGACTTTGGTGTTTTTGCTGCTGGCCTCTGAGCATCCCAGCCATTGGTGTAGTTTTGTCGTTACGGCGGGTTCAAATTCTGGTGAGTGTGGGGTGATGGTTTGCCTGCCGGCGTGGCACCCAGCCTCCATTGGCCCCTCTGCCTGTGCATGGACCTTGCCTGGTGTCCGAAGGTGACTTGGCTCTGGCCTCCTCATGCTGCAAGCTGTGGGAGTTTCAACTCTGAAAACGTTACTGAGCAAAGACTGTGCCCCTGGGCTATTCTTGGGGAATAGCTCGTGACTGACACCTGTCAGTCTCTTCAGCCCAAGTGAGCAGCACTCTGGCAGCTCGTGTGGGCACGACCAGCTTGTTCATACTCTGTGCAGGAGCTGCCCTGCTCTGTCAGAGCCAAGTCGGGTGTCCTCCTGAGACAATCCAAATAACCTGGGATTTTTTCCACTTGAGGAAAATGCTTCCGGTATCAGTTCAGTTCCCACTGACTGCACTTGTTAGCTCCTGCCTTCATATTGTGCGGTGATGGGTATGGGCATCACCTGGATGTGTTCTTGCTCCTGGTGCCTATTGCCAAAGGATTAATCATTGCAGTATAGTTATATTTTTCCTCTGCTTATTCCGTACCATGCTTTGTGAAAGGTGAGACTTGGTGTAGAAATGATGAGGAATGGGATGGGGATGACATACAGATGCAAATCTGTTAAAAAGCAGGAGTATGGTCTGACTTCTGTTCTTCCTTCTCAGGCTTTATTTGTTGGTGTCTCTTTATTTGTTGGGTTTGACCTCTGAAGTCCTTATTGAGCTGTGCCTTGCCTTTGTGCTTGTGGTGTGATTTCCATTTGGGTCTGCGAGCGACCTGCAGGGAATCGGGAAGATCACAGAAAACAGCAAGCCCGTTGCCTGTAGGCTCGTGTTGGCTACCGAGCGGCCCTATTCCAGCAAGGCTCTGGGACGAACGGCCTGTCCTTCGGCAGCGCTGCATAGGAGCATCGCGCTGAGGCTGCCCAGCTGGCACACACCTTGCGTGGTACCTGGGGGCCGTAACCCCTGTGCAAAGGGGGGTGGCAGCAGGGAAATCAGGATGACGTCGGCAGCAGTCTGCCCGGCGCTGCCTTGTGTAGCCGAACCTGTAAGGGGCAATTGGTCCTCTTTGCTCACTGATATACTTAGCAGAGGGGGTGTTGGGCACGTGTTGTGTGATGTATGTTTTCCATCTGTGATTGCATTAGCTTCCCTGAAATTTTGCTGGAAGATTTTTTTTTTTCCTAAATGCACATTTAGCATATAATAACTGTCACTTCAAGACACATCCTCCAGTGTGTTTTGGGTGAGAGGAGGATATGGCTTTAGTGTCTTTGGTTAGAAAGAACCCACATTTAAACGTGGATGCCTGTGTTGTCTGAGTGGACATAGATTATATCATGTTACCTTTTGTTGTCCTTCTTGGGAGGGGAGGGAATGAACTTTTTGCATTCGAGCTTTCCTGTGCTTCTCATACTTGTAACTACAAAAGCACTTACTGCTTAGTAGTGGCGACCTTTGAACGGTCTCGTTTCAGCTCGGACAGTGCTGCGTTGTTGGTTGGTTTCTTTGCCTGGCTCTGAATTGCAGGGTCCGCCTGCAAATGCGTTGAGCGAGATCCATGTGGAAATTTCCAGCGTGAAGATGTAGGAGGGGGGGGGAAAAAACCACCTCCTGTTGACAGAATACGTTTCCTTACCTGACAGTCAGCTTTCAAGTTTAACACTGCATTATACAATGTTAAAATCAGCCCTAGTTGTTAAACTCTGGAGAGGTTCAGGAGTAACACCTCTTAGAGATCTGGAGCATATGGCTAGGTCTTGTAAAGATAAGCATGGCGTAATGACCTGGGTAGGTGTGCTTTATATTGTGGCAGCTAACCCATTAAGGCTGGGTTCATGGCAAACCCTTGACCGTCCTCCCAGCAACCACACTTAATGCATGTAACATATAATGCTTCCTGGCTATGGAGCTAGTTCCCGATTTCTGATCACTGATTAACACTTGTTGAACAAATATTCCCTTAACCAGGGTGTACCCTGCATTTGCATAGTACTGTGTTTCTGAAATACAGCTCTAGTAATCCATGCAGCTCCTGTGTGATGGCAGCAAAATCGTGTACTTGGCCAGAAACTGAGCCGTAGCAGTCCATGCTTCTCCTGTGTGACTGGTATAGCAGTTGTGTTGGGGAAACAGGCTTTGCCTCTCCTGAGAAGGGAGCTGGATCCGATTGCTTGTGGTCTGCAGCAGGGTGTAATGCCATGTGTACTGTTGACTCGGGATCACTTGTACTGCTTCAGTGTATTAATGTTTACAGTTGTGCCTGTATGGATGTTGACAGGTTATCTTCTGTCCATGGGTTCCTGTGTATCTACAAAGGAAATAAACACGTGGCCTTAGTAGTGCTTGGTGCCTGCTGCAGCTGGAATTTTTCTCCAGATCATCACCGAGAACATTCTGTGGTTGAGGTTGAACCTTGGGCAGCGTCTTGTGCCAACTGTATACTCCACCTCCTGTGTCGGTGAAGGTGGGAGGACGTGCAACTGAGCCAGCCCCGGGACTGTGACGCTGAGTGTGCCATCAGTGGGTGATGAGTGAAATAAGCAGGTGAAAATCTCCCTTGCAAAATGGTTTCAGCATCCTGATTTTCTTCTGCTGTGATGCGGGAGAGCCAGTGTCCTGAGCCTGAGCTTGGTTCTGGGCTGAGACAGTCAATGGCATGTGTTCTTCTCTGACGCATCCTGCAGTGCCTGTTTTGTATCTGAAGACACTGAAATTGCACAAACCTTTAGAAGTCTCACACAGAGTGCATCTTGAAGAGGAAGGGGGGCTGAGTAAAAGACTTGGCACTGCAGTGCCAGACTTTGCAAACACCGCTGTAGGGAGGTGTTCTCAGCGTACTTAAGTTCCCAATTAAAAGTAGCAGAGTGAGCTGGAAGTTGTGGGCTGAGCGGGCAGCCCTTGGAGGACAGACAAAGCTTACTCATTGATGTGGGGGTGAAGAAATTTGGGTATGTAAAAGGAGCAGGCATAGCTCCAGGGCAGGAGTGGGAAGTGACAGTTGTGCCCTTGGTCCTGTGAGCAGACACTGAGAATATGTTCTAGTGCCTTACAATAATCAAAGGTCAAATTCTAATGCTTTTAATCCTTTTAACACGTTAGGAAGGAATCAAGACCATCTTTGCAGCGTTGCTGACATTTACCTGTCTTTGCTTTCCCTGGTCAATGCTAACTTGAATATTTGTGTGGAGTCCAGGAATATTATCCTAACTCATGAAGAGTCATAGGGAGAGTTCTTGCTTTGCCTGGTAAGGGCAGCTAATGAGCTGTCATTCAGCTGGCCTGAGCTGCAAACAAGTTCCCGTGGTGCCTCGATGCCAAAGTAGGTGGTCTGGGATATGCCCCGGCTATTAGGTGACTTGAAGCTGGTTGCAGACTTGTTCCTTGACCTCTTGCTTTCTTTTTTTTTTAAATATCTTTCAGCACAGATTGAGATCAGACATGGCGGGTGATGCCATCATGGTCGTGAGAGGCCTGACCAAGCTGAGTAAAGCAGTCCTAGGTTGCAGACCTGTTCCTTGACCTCTTTCTTGCTTTCTTTTTTTTTTTAAATATCTTTCAGCACAGATTGAGATCAGACATGGCGGGTGATGCCATCATGGTCGTGAGAGGCCTGACCAAGCTGAGTAAAGCAGTCCTAGAAACCCAAGCGGGACAGCTGCGGCAGGTGCTCCTCGGGGGCGATGCAGTCACCATTGCAAGGACTCTCCAGGCCGCTGCTGAAGAACAGTTCAGTTCTGCCCTGGGGAAAATGCAGGTAAGCAAAGTTCTCTGTGCACAGTCTAGACTGATGTTTTGCTTTTCCTCCAGGTACTTTTTGTGTTGTGAGAGTGGATAGGAACTTGCATCGTGAACTAGAACCTAGCTCTGAAGTGCTGGATTGATAATATAGATGTGGCAACGCTCTGAGTTCTCCAGGATTTCTGTGGGGTGCAGTAGGTACTTGGACAGGAACAGGAGGGAACATTACTGTGGGGTGTTTCTGTTTCCATTGCTGAGTGTTTAAGACATGCTGAAAATGAAAAGTGCTTTGCTCGCTCCATCTTGTCAGAGATCAAGCTCTTGCAAAGGCTGGCCAGCAGCTTTTGTTATTTAAAGTGTCCTTCAAACTTCAGTCATTGGTACCTCTCCTTTCACTAAGTGAACTAGCTCTTTGAGAGGGGAATTGGGTTTATCTCAGTGCTGCTTCTTTGCTTTACAGAATTGATGCATGAGATATTTTTCAGAATGGCTCAGGGTTAGGTGTTGGCATATTCATCACTTACAACCCAGGCTGGATTTTCAGAACTGCTATTCAAAGGAGGACCACGAGGAAAGACAGACTCCATTCCTCTGTTTTAAGCAGCAGTTCGCGTTACCAGCCATGGGGTTAGATTCATAAGAGCTTCACGTTTGCAGTATTGCTATCTTTGAAAATATGGGGCTTGTCTGAGGAAAAGAACTACTCTGTATCAAAACCAATCATACTTTAAAAAGACAGTGTGGCTCAGATCATGATTTTGAAGCAGAAACTGAGTGAGATTTTGACTTTTTCATACAACAAACTTAGACTATCATGGCAGTCTCCTTTACTTCTATAGTACTACAATCTGGACCCCTGTCCTCAGTTCTGTGTAATCTGGTGATAGAAATACCCTAAGTGTGTGTGTTTAGGGAGACAGTGCTTTGTCTTACCTTTGCATCCAAGAAGAGAGGGAGATGATGTCCTCCTGTTTCTGCGCAGGTTTCTCTGCACAGGAGAGGCCCCACAAACACCCCTGCAGGACACTGGCCCTGCATGGTAACCAGTTGCATGGGAAGCTGCTGCCAAAGCAGGGCTCACTAAGAAATCTGCAGGCAGAAGCAATGACACTTTACTGCTTTGAAGAGAGGAAAGCTTTTATGTTAAGTGACTGTATTTCACTTCCCTTGATCTGTGGCAGGCTTTTGGCTGTCTGACATGCTTTTTAAAACTTAAGTATGGAAATAGAGAGGCCTTCTTGCTTGAAATCAACAGTCAGTATTATGGCCACGATCCCCATCTTTGAAGAGATTTTTCTTTCCACCCTCCCCCCCCCCGCCATGATGTTGAGGTTCAGAATAGCATAAGACCTGTTGAATAACAGGAAAGACCATGTTCTGTTTTTTTCTGTAAGGAGAGGAAATGTAATTAGTGTTTAGGAAAGAGCCTAAAATATGCTGCCTGCTTGCCTGACCACAGCAGGATTTAAAATCCTGTTGACTGGCTGTTATAGTCATCAGTTCTTCCGTGGGGTTGCTGCTGCTGAGATGGGTAATTAGAATATGACAAGTAGCAAGTAAATATGAGATAATGCCCTGCTGCTGCTGGCTCTGGTTTTTTCCCCTACATCAAAAAGTGGTGAGAAATATCTGTACTTAGTGGTGCAACTTTTGCAGGTCAGGACAGAACAAAGACTGTCAGGAGAAGCTCACCTTGGGTGTTGCAGTGTCTGATGCTGCTATCTTTGCTTTGAGCACAAAATTTTATTTACTTTGGAATGATGACAAACCTTGCCATTATTCAGTGGTTGAATAAGGAAATGTGTTACAGTCGGTAACGTCATGGCTCATGGCTGAGGTTGTTTTGTCTCTGAGTAGGTACCTGGTACTGCTCTGGGACTTTAAGTGCTGATGTTGCCTGGTTAGGGATGGCATGGGAGAAGGGAGCAGGGTAGGGGTAAGAACTGAATATTATGAGGTTCAGCTTTTGTTGTGCCTCCTAAATATATCTTCTGTGGTGTTGTGGCTCCCATCACCTGTTGTTTTCTGAGCAGTGCGTTGCTGCTGGTGAGCTCTACCGTTAGAGACCCTTCCTGGCAGCGTCTGCAGAACACGGCGTCTCCAGTGACAGGTATTTGAGAAGCTGTTAATGAACTTGTCCCGTTAGTGGGGCTGAAAGACTGCCAGCGATCCCAGGGGTCCCAGTGTCGTCATCTTTCCCCTCTCTTCCTATGAACATCTGCAGCGCCAGAATCTCTACAGATTGCGTACTGTTGACGCGGGACAGCCTAGCTGCCTGCCCATTGCTGAGGACCATGGATGGGTAGGGGGCAGGTTGCAAGTTCTTAAAGTATTTTTTATTATCGTTTGCAGGAACTAGGCAAACAGCAGGAGAACTTAACTGATCTCAGCGAGGATTTTGGGAAAGACTATGACTTCTCAGCCCGAGAGCCATCAGACGCTGCGATGGACTTCTCCACCGCCCCCGGCAAGCCTCACGAGCACAGCGGTGAAGGCCCTGCTCACTCTTACACTACAAACGGACCTTTTAGAGGTGTTGGTGAGACTGGAGATTCTGGCATGGGTCAGAAGCCTTTCCCTCCCAAAATGGATGCAAGGTTATTTGGAGGCTTTAGGGACCCTGGAAATCCTTTTGCTGCTGCCTTTGGACAAAACAGGGCTTTTCACCAAGACCATTCCTCTGTTGGTGGATTAACGGCTGAAGATATTGATAAAGCCAGACAGGCTAAAACAGGTTCAGAGCAGAAACCCTACAAACAGATGGTATGCTTTCCTTAACCATAGTACTGAACATCCTTAATTTCTATACTGGATTGTCCTTACTCACCTTCTCCTGTGTTTCTCTTTTTTTCCTTTTCTGCTGTTCCCTGTTGTGGAAGCAAAAGAGGGAAGTGTCAGTGCTCCTTAACTCATGATCTCTGTGGCATTTATTCTGTCAATAGTTTTTCAGACTCTCCTTTCACACCTGCCCCCTCTATATCAGCTCTTTTGGTATGAGAGGATGTTTAAAAAGCTTTCACAGGGTTAGACTTCAGTTTTCTCTTAACAGGAGCTTTCCCTTCCTTCACTGGACTATGAGGATTCGATGTATTTATTGATTCATGTTACAGCAATGAAGGGTGAAATAGTGAGTAGGTGGGCAGCTGTAGGAGACCAAGGTTTGAAGGCTGACTTTACTGAAGAGCAGGTGTTCTCCTTGAAGGGCCCAGTTCCCTTTAGCATAGTTGTTTTGCTATGGCTGTGAAGAATGAATTGGGTCCAGGTTCCTCTCAGGGAAGATTGTGGCTTCCTGTAGTGTGTATTGCAGTCCTTCTAGAGGTGCAGGGAACATTACCCTGAACACTAGCAGATTGGAGAGTAGCGTAGCTCAGAGTGCAGAAAGTCCACAGCAGAACTTCCAGTGGAGATGCTTGCAGCCTGCTCTGACCTTCTGCTTCCTTCCCCAAACCCAGGATCACATGCTACTGTGGGTTTACTCCCTCAGGATATTGCTTTGATGAAACTCTGTGCTTCTGTTGCTCCAGCTGTTGTGCGTGGGGGAGCTACCTACAGTGCTGGGAACCTGATAACCTTCCACGAGCTTTAATTCCATGTGTGGAAGGGAGTTTGGGTTGGCATTTTGCTGCTTTTCCAAGTTCAAAATGTAAGGGCTGCTGACCTGAAAGTAAAAATGGGGTTGCTAAATGTGGTTGTCAGCTTTTCTACCTTTCCCAGGCTCTTGTTCACTCCTGTGCTTAGTGTGTGTTCCAGTTAGTGGTGTGTCTGTTCTGCAGTGTGTTCACCTGAAAATCTCTTGTTTATATATAAGGCTCAGTGTTGAAGAAAAGCTTTCTCTAGCATAGACTTTCAAAGTTGCACTCTGAATTTGCAGGTATCTGACCATATGCCCAGTTCACTTGTGGATTTCTTCTTGTTTTGTTTTCCTTTCCCTCCCTCTTTCTGCTGCAGCTCAGTGAGCGGGCCCGGGAGAGGAAGGTTCCCGTCACACGAATTGGACGGCTCGCCAACTTTGGAGGTCAGTTTGCACAGCCACATCTGCGAAGTCACTATGCTTGCACCAACTGACTAAGGGCAGTGCTCCTGCAGCTGGTTCTATTTTCTGGTTAAGCTTGCTAGTAGAAAGTGCTTTCCCACAAACAGCTGGCTAACACAGAGCTTGATCTGGGCTTTTTCATTACAATGATGGTCTTGACCTTTAGTCAGAATGAAGTTATACTGTGAATTCTGTCTTCTGTCATTCTTGCCATCTCTGACTGCTACTGTGACAGTAAACAAAACTATGGAGTTGGTGTGGGTTTTTGTTTGTCTTAAGAAGGCCGGCTGATACATTCCTGGAGCTTAGTTCTTGTATACCTGTTCTGAAATGGGAAAAAAGTCCCTCTTAAGAGTGTAGGGTAGATGATTTGGGAGTGCATAGTAGACCTGCACATCTTCATGGTAACACATACTGAGCTGTGCTGGTTCAGTGAGTGGGAGAGAGTGAGGTGCAGGTTGTTCTCCAGTCTGTACAAATACCCTGGTCCTGCATATGCCATCTCACTTTATTGAGGAAACTCTCCTTCTAGTCCATACAGCATGCTGTTACTGTAAAGCATAGACAGCTGGAGCAGCTGGTATTTAAAATACCTTTTTCCCAAACTTATCCTTGCTGATTCTCTGAACAGTGGTTAAATATAAAACACATCTCTTGGATATTGATTTTTGAGGGTGGGGAGATGATGATAGTCGAGGTTTGATTTACTTTGCTGTTGCTTATGAACCACTTTCTCTAGGAAGGATGTAAACTTTGAGCTTGTAAGAGCAAGGTGCCTGAAACCTATGTCAATTTTATCTGTAGAATGGGACTTGCTATGTTAAGAAATGGCTGAATATCTTCAATAGTATTAACAGATGGTGCTTATCGAATGTCTTATATCCAAAGCCATCAAAGGACTTAATGTGTTCCTGAGGAAAAAAAGAACAATCCAAGTATTGCAGGTGAAAAACACGATCGCAGTGAGTCTTACTTAGCTAATCATTAGATGAGGAATGTCTCTGGGTTGTGTTGGTGTTTTTTTTTTTTTGCAACAGTAGTGCTTTGAGATGACAGTAGCCTATCTAGGTTGTGAACAGTCTCTCCCAAGTAGCATGTCAGGCCCTTATGGCTCTCGTGATTCCTTTCCACAAAATTTGATAGAGAAGCATGTGTGTAAAGTAGACATCCTTGTGTTATGGATCCCAGAAGAAAGAAAAATAGCCTGTCAAATGTAATTCAGGTCAACTGTTGTATAAAAACACAATTATTCTTCCTCTGTGTGTGTCTTTGCCAGAGTAATATGCACACTGGGAAGAGCTGGGGGTGGGGAGTGATTCTGTGCAGTGCAGGAGTAAACAGCGAGTTTTGTGATAAGGTTTTACTGCTGCTCAGCTCTCTTTAACCCTGTAGTTCATTGCAGGTGCTCTGGCTTCTCAGCATGCCTAGTGTTCCTTAAGGGGAAGCAGGATTCAAGCTTTTTGGAGTCAAAAAAAACTCCCTTGACTTTGTTTTTTAAGCTCTAGGAGCGTAGAGGTCTCTGGTTCTAATCCAGCCTTGAATTTATGGAAAGTGTCTCACCACTTTTAGCTGTCATCTTCTGAATTTATCCGTGGCTGCTCGCTGACAGCTGGGGGATGTGAAGTGGCGGAGGACCAAATTTTCTGTGAACTTTGAGTTCCAGCACTGTGGCTGTGCACTCCAGCTCTTGGCACCCAGGGCTGTCGCAGGAGCAAAGGCTAACTCATGCTTCAAGGGGAAATACAACTAACTACCTGTCTTTTCCTATCCTCAGGATAAAAAGCAAACAAAAAACCCCCACCAAGGCAAAACCACAAAGGGAGAGTAAGACAGAGATGGTGTATAAGCATCATCCCCAGTCATATCTATGCATCATCTGTTTTTTGGTCTTGCCCTTCTCCACTTGTCTGTTTTGCATGGTTGAAATTGCTGGTGAGACAGAGCTTTTTGCCTTCAGACGGCTTTTGGGGGGGCACTGTGTTGTAAAAATGGTGTCTGCGGTCTCTGCAATCTCTTGTTAGCATTCATTCCTTATCTTTGCCTCTGAATTTTTCCTTGCAACAGTAAGGAGAAACAGAATGGTCAGTACACTGGCTACCAAACAACAGATGTAGCTGGCAGGTAGTTTAGTTTTTTATCCAGTGTAAGGAATCCCTTGGTAATATTTTGGTAGGCTGGGTGATGCTTGAAGGTTTCTGAGGGTGTGGGGAGTCTGAAGTAGCATGGGCAGCCCCACGTGGGAAGGGTTACCTGTAAGTGATGCTTCTTAATGGCCAGATCTCGATCCAGGTGGGTATGAGCTTTTTTAAACAGCTTCTAGAACCACATGGACAGAGGAGACCCCATTTATAATGAAGAGCAGGTCCTGGTTGCTGATGTAGAGTGTTTTTTTTCTGACCTGCACATGGCCTCGAGAGCACCAGTGCAATTGTGAAACTCCATCAGGTAATTCTAGTGTGGCTTTTCCTGACTGACTGTTATCTGATGAGAAATGTTCCTTTCAAATTGCCTCTTTATGAAGCATTTGAAATGTTTAAACCAGGAAACATCAGCTGATAGCAGGAGCTGTGGTGTGCTGTTCACTCTCACCTGGTTCTGGTTCCTCTGAAGGTGGGGGGTGATTATTTCCCACTCTACCAGCTGCCTCTTCATGTTGTCTTGAAAATAATTAAGGTCAGGAGGTTGCTCCCTCTCCATGAGGGAGTGTAGCTTAGAGCAGGTAAGCTTTTTGTGCATGATTGTGTTTTGAGGTGCCATCTTCATTTGAAGACCCTGGGAAGTCACTGTGGGAAATGTAATGGTCGAGCTCGATTCTTCCCTGACCATCTCAGTGCCAGTCAAACTGGCATTTGACTCTGATTTGTCTTCATGGGATAAAACCCACTTGTTCTTCTAATATAGAAATAAAGAAAAATCAGTCTATATTTGGAGAAGATGGAAAGATACTGAGTAGGTCAAAAGCAGATTTTGGGTAACTCTTCCTGGGGTTCAGATAGCTGATTTCTCATGCTATTGGCATGATCCCATCCACGCTATGAGAAATCAGCTATTGGCATGATCCCATCCACGCTCGAATCGTTCCTCGTCTGGTCTTTGCATAGTTTTTATTGTCCCCCAATGTTATAGGGAATGCTGATGTATCGGCTGTGGGGTCAGGACACTCTGGTGGGTGATGGACAAATTAGTAACATGAGGCATAAACACTTGTACTGCAGAGCTTGCCTGGCTTCTTGCTGCTTTTGGGAGCCAAGAACATCTTGCTGGGGAGATTGAAGATACTTTTATCCAATGCTTTCATGTAATACTGAGATAATATCTCTGTAATCAGCACAAGATCCTCTACTGAACCTCTTCTGTCCTTTATATGTATTTTTGTATGCTTCTTTCAGCAGCTGGGGTGACTGCTGGTAGCTGTATTTATAGTACTAAATACCATCCTTGGATTTGATTTGGTTTATTTTTTCTTCCCAAGGTTGGGATTGGTAAAACAGATTTCTGCAGTTTTTTGTTCCATGCTTGTTTTGCAGCCTGATGGGTCATCAGTTCCACCCACACAGTTCTTGATCTTTTCTTTATTTCCATTCTCCCTTCCTTGCATCATTTGACTTTTCTAAGCAGTTTCTGTCTCCTTTAAACTTACAAACCAGGAGCGTGATTATTATTTTAATGATATCATAAGATCCTTTTGCAGTTAAGAAAACTCAGTAAGCTTGCAGTAAATCTAGATGCAGTGTGATTGTAGCAATTTTTTGGGGAAGAAAAACCCTGAAACAAATAAAAAACCCCTCACCTCTTGAGGTATCTTACTGCTTGATGTTATTGAAGTATATACAGGACTGACAGCTGCAGGATTCAGATTGTCACGTGAGCGACAAGCGAGCGTGGCTTTCTTCAGACGAGCATTTGATGCTCAGAAAGCTAGTGGGAATCGATGCTCAGGGTGCCGCAGCGTGCTCTGCGTGGTGCTTGCCGTGTCTGATGTGACCGAAACGAGGGCGCGGGCTGCTCCCGGGGCTGGTCTCGCACACCCCTGCACTTGGCAGAGTGATAACAGCCTGCTCGGTCTCCCATTTGTGATGTTGTCTCAGTTGCTGAGGGAGAAGATTCTTCCTGAACGAAATTGGTTCCAGATCATCTCTTGATGGGCTTGGTTTGAAGTGTAACGGGTGCTGGAGAAGCCTGGAAAATGTCTGAAGAGGCACTCTGCTGGTATAAATCCAAGTGGCATTTTCCAGGCCTGAAGTTATCTGTCTATGTAAAGTGCAACGTGCAGGAGTGACTTTCTGGAGGTGTGTGGGGAATGTCGATTTCCAGGGTGCTGTATTGTGGCTATTCCGTGATGCTGGAAATGGGCCCGGAATAATTAATCTTGGAGGAAATACTCGTGTTGCAGTTAAGAAGGAAGGATGGGATGTCAGGGGTGGGTTGGGCAAGGTGGCCCAGAGTAGGAGAGCCATTTTCTACAGCAGTGCAGGTTCTCTGGAGGGTTGGTTTGTTCCTGGGAACAGGAACAGCGTGTTCACGATCACCAAACATTCCTCTCTTCATCCTCCTTTTCCAAGCTTTCACTGCTGAGCATGCCATAAGGTATGGATACCCCTTGGATCAATCTGGGTCAGCTGTCCTGGCCCTGTCCCCTCCCAGCCTCTTGCCCATACCCACACTCACTGCAGAGTGGGGAAAAAGGAAAAGCCTTGACGCTGCGTGAACTGTGTTCAGCAACAGGTAAAGCCTTGGTGTTACCAGTGCTTAGTCACAAATCCAACATGCAGCACGGTAATGGCTGCCGCGGAGAAAATTTGCTTCTGTCTCAGCCAGAGACTGAGCACAAGTACTGCTGGGTACCAACAGCATGCACCTAGACCACAGTCTACAATACGGTTTAGTTCAGACGCTCAACTGCGTACGGCCAACATTTGCCTGGAGTCTGAGCTTGCCTGTGCTGATGTAAACCCCAAGCTGCTTTGGAGCATGCTAGGACTTCTCCAGCTTTGTTCTGGAAGACAGAGTTCCTGGTTCCTAGTTGCTTGTTTGCCTTTGAAGTGGTTTGTGTCTTAACAATGGAAGGAGATTAGAAACCTCAGATAAGTTATATATGAGGTGCAGGCAGTAAATCTCAGTAGTGAACATAGAGCCCTTGGAAGGAGATGCAATGTGTTTAATTTGGAGCCCGTTACTGCCAGCCCGGTTCAGCCTAGCTGTTAATGACTGAGCTGAGTTCCAGTGGGGAGCGTTGCTTTGGAGATGGCGGAAGTGGGCTCGAGGCCAAGAGAAGTGCTCAGTGAGTGGTATCCAGTCTACGAAATCACCTCTTGTTGATGAGATTCCCATCTTCTTTGGCTTCCCATCTGGCTCAGTACTGTCTGCACCAAGGTACTGTGTTAGATGTGGGATTGGATTGGACATGCCCGTACATCTGCATTTTAGTAGATACTGTTTATGCCATGTTTGAAAAGTCTCTTTTGCTTTGTTCTTGTGGAGTCTAGGGATATTCTTCTCATTTTGTTCAGGTAGTAAAATCTCTGGAAACTTGCCCAGTGGTCATGCATGGCTTGGCACTGTTGAAGGGTCTGCACAAGGTGGCTAGTAACAGCAGGCTTCCTTAGGCTTATATTTTAAGTATCAGAATACTAAAATCACAGCATCCTGTGAATGGGTTGGATGTGTAAGAACTCACTGTGCAAGACGAGGTTCATCTTGAGTGCACCCAGGCTTCCCCGCTTGAGACCACAAAGTGTGTGCGCTCGTGTCCTCCCACCCACATGCACGAAACGCCACGTGCTGGTCGGCTGTGCTTCCTTTGTGCTGACTCTGTCCCCCGGTTGTTTTCCCTGGGAAGCTGTCCAGTAGCGCCTCAAGGAGGGTGCTTGGACAACCTCCACACCCAGTACTGCTAGCAGTAAGGTGTGGCAGGAGGCACCAGATCTGGTTGCCCATGCCAGTTGTTATCCAGAAAAAATAAATATTTTGAAATTGGGAAGGCAGCGAGATGTTTGGCAGTATGGAGTAGATCTGTGACTCATTATATCTTCGGTGGCTTTGGTTAGGTTAGTGGAGGCAGATAACACTTCTTTGTAGTCGTAGCTTAATCTGTGGCCATGAGATAAGACCCTGGGATTCTCAGCTTGCGAGGGTGATAGCGTGCGTGTGCTGGTTTGAGTTGGGGTGGGGTTGGTTTTCCTCATAGTAGCTGGTATGAGGCTGTGTTTTGGCTGCGCTGAGATGAATATTGATAACACACTGATGTTTTTATTGTTGCTAAGGGATGTTTCTGTTAAGTCAAGGACTTGCTCAGTTGCTGATACCGCCCCTGTGTTCCCAGCTTCTGCTCTACACTAAGATTGCAGGTCACAACACTGCTTGCATGAAGTGGGCCTTAGGAGAAATGTGTTTCAGTTCATCATGGCCAGCGAGCCTGTGGAAGTCGAGGACAGCTGATGAGCACAGATAAACCTGACTGCTCGGACAGGGTGGTCAGAGCCTTGAACTCCGCTGGCAGTTGCTTAATCCAAGTACAGTTTTGCTTCCCCCTGCTGCAGTGGCATGGTGGAGGGTGAGGGTGATTCTGTTCTTTCCCAAGAGTTGTACTTTGAGAACCACGTTTGTGAGGTTATTTTTCTTCCCTTCTAAACTCCACGATTTGAGCCTACAGCAGGAGCTCAGCCAGAGCATGGAGCGCTCAGTAGCACCCCTTGGCGTGCTTTGAGAGCCGGATGTCCCAGACAGGCCTAGCCTACGATGCCTGGCTGGCGTGCTGGGCTGAAGTAGTACAGGAAAACACTGTGCAGCGTCTGACTCGAAGATGACTCTGTGGCAAAAGCCAGGATGTTCTGATCAGGCTGCTTTGCTGCTGCGTATCTGACCATGTGCCATAATGTTAATTACAAAAAACGCCTCTGTATGTGGCTCAGAAGGCTTTTTCATACTGACCTGGGTCTTTTTCTCCTTATTTTAAAGGACTAGCTGTTGGTCTTGGCATTGGGGCGTTGGCTGAAGTTGCAAAGAAGAGCCTTAGACCCGAGGAACGCAATGGTAAGCCCTTTCTGCTTCCTAGTTCACCGCCCCTGCAGTGATGCAGAGGTAAAATGTTCCCCGAGTCCTACCTGGCCATGTCGTGGTGGCTTCCTTCTAAGCTTGTGTTGGTAAAACATGGTGGTACTGAACGGTTGTGTGTGGGTGAATGGCTTAGGGCACAGAAATGACAGGGTGTTCTTTCCTAGAAAACACGAGGTTCCTCTAAAGCTTATGGCTCCGTTGACTGACTTATCCAGGAAAAGCTTTGGTGGGACACTGCAAAATGCAGAGTTCTTTGTACAGTTACTGCAGGCTGTTCTGGCCTTCAGCTGGTCTCTCTGGCTTGGCCAGAACATTTGTGAACTGACAAAAGGGTTAAGCACTTGCAGCCAGAAGTAAAAATGAAGTCAGCTTGTTTGTGGTTCAAAAGCATTGCTTTGAGCTCATGACAACTGCTGTGTCCTTGTGACTTCACTCTGTGGCTAGGAGTATTCTACTACAAGGCTAGCTGTGTCTTCCCCTTGGTTGTCTCTGGGGGTGGGGGAAGGATGGAGGCTGAGATAGTGTGAACCTCTATTCCAGGAGGTACTGAAATTTGGAGGGGAGAACACCCTAAAAAAACCCCAACCAACCAAAACAAAAAACCCATCCCAGCAGATAAAACATGTTCCCTGGCTGGGGGGGACAGGGTAGGGCAGGGGTTGTGTGCCACCCAGGACACTCCTTGCTAATTCCTGCATGTCTGTATTCCCTGTGCAAGCAGACGATGCAGAGCAGCCCAGCAGAGAAAAAGGATCCTTGGCAGAGAGCTGCTGTTTCTGTGCATGACCCAAGGTGTTTGAGGCTGGGTGGGTTTCTTTGCTTTGACTTAAAAAAACATGTGTTTGGGCAAACACAGCCCAGCCTGCAGAGGATCCTTGAGGGCATTTGCTTTTGGTGCTTGTGGCGTTCGACAGGTTGTTCATACCCGTTGGAAGCTGATGATTTGCTTTGCTTTTCGCAGAGGAGGAATTGCACAACTGTTGGTATTTCTCTGCTTGCCAGATTATTTTCTAATTGGACACACCCCAGAGTAAAAACATGAGCTTGTAGAGCTAAGAAGTTTGAGGGAATAACATGAGCTTTGTTTCTCTTTCTTACAGCATGAGAAAGGATTGATTATTTTTTTTTTTCCTTTGGAGGGCAACAGACACTTTTTCCTTGCGATAAAGCAATTGCACCTCTAGAATTTTCTTGCTAGGGAAACTGTTTTCCTGTGTAACTACAGCTTGGTGCCAGAAGCCCGCTCGACAGTCTGAGTCATGCTTGGGGAAGAGTGATTGCCTTCAGCAAACCTTGATTAAAGAGTAAAGGCAGTGAGAACTTCCGACTTCGATGCTAAGCAGGGGAGTTAAAAAATTACTTGGCTCTTATTTTCAGCTGTATTCCTTTTGTTCTTGCTTCCCCCCTTGCTGTCAAGTCTGCTTAGAGAAGAGTTCAGAGCAGTGGTTACACTGCAAAGGAGGAGGGGTAGTGGGGCTGAGAATGGGCCAAGAGCAGCAAATATGGAGGTGAGGCAGTAGTAAGACTATTTTGGCCCTCCTCTTGGAGCTTCTCAGGCCAAGGATGCAGGAGAGTCTCCAGGTGACTCAGCTACAGCCTTCAGCTAGTGTCCTTGGATGTTTTCACAGGACTCCACAGTAAGGCTCCATGGATGAGACCTCCCTCCATGGGTTCTGTTGCCACAGAAATATGTGGCAGAGGATATGTACACAGTTCTGAGTCCAAGATCCCATTTTCTTACTGTTCTTCTAGCAGGACCAGCCTTAGCTGTCCTTGGGGGAAAATCTCTTGATGTAGGTACCTCTAGATTTCTTTAAAAATACCTCTGCAGCCCTGTAACGATCTCAGCTTGAGGGGTTTGTGTCCAGGTTTTCTGGCTGCCAGCACCACAAGCTCGAGTGAAGACTTGTCGGAGAATGACATATTGTCCTGTTCTCTGGAAGCTGGTCAAGGATGTCTTTTCTTCTCTCCCCACTGCTGCAATATTAATAGTAACTTGTTGACACTTCAGCCTTAAACAAGTGGGTTGTGTATATGCCCAAAGGCATGCCTAAGGATTTCACGCTCTCCCTGGCATCCAGGAGTGATGGGAAAGAGCCTTCTCTTGGCTACCCTCCTCTTGTCCGTTCAGTACGAATGAAAGTGTCTTCACCCCTTTGACATGCAGCTAGCAACACTGGTCCTCCACTCAAAGCGACATGCCGGGAACTCGAGCTACAAGTGAGACGAGTAGCATGGCATGTACTTCTTTCCATGGCTCTTAGCAAATGGAGGGACCACACGCCTACTCTCCTGTGCGTTCCCTAGCAACTGTGCTGGTGCTGATCCATCTTTTCCTGCTCCATTTCCCCATCCTTGCTTAGTAGCCACAGGTCCCTTCCTTTCTCTCTGCCCCGGGGTGTCTCTGCTTCCAGAAACAATTATCTACTTAAGGGATTTACCACAGGGAAAAAAAAATGTGGTGCAAGAGTTGGAATTTCTCCATCCAAGCTTGGTGTCCTGGACATAACTTCTTCCCCCTGTCATATTCCTGTGAGTTGGTGCAGGAGGTTGTGCATTTTTTTTGGTGTTTTTGTAGTGGTTGGGCTTGAGGGCCTAATGCTGCCTTCTTTAAGTTCTTTAATAGGTGGTTTGGTTCATCTTAATCTCTTAAAGAGGATGGTTGTACTTGATTTCCAGTGAGAATTTTCTTGGTAGGCTGATGTAGGTGATTAACTAGATGATCTTTAAGGTCCATTCCGACCCAAACGATTCTGTGATTAAAAATAACCATCTTGGTCATTGGTGACCTTGACGGCAGTCTCGGTATTCATGTATCTAAAGCGTGAGGCTGACGCGGGGCGGGAATGGGAGGGTAGAATAAACTTCCAGGAATAAAAATAAGAGCGCCCAGATAAATAGCTGCCACTGCTAGTAACGAGGCTCTGGGTTCAAGGTCAACTTTATAACTTACTAATGACCTGCATCGGGCCCCGCTGCTGGGCGCTGCGTGAACGCCAGGCCGGGCAGAGCCCCCGGGGGCTGGCAGCTGGCCTGGGTTTGAACATAGGGTGGTTTTCTTCTGCAGAGGAATAATGCAGTCTCCTCGAGCTGACAGTCTGAAGTGCTTACGCAAAGTTCTTGACTTTTTCCTCGCCCCAAAGTTTGTGTGGCAGACGGTCCTAAAACCAAATAGACACAAAGTCCAGTGGCTTGTTCTCTGTTTGACAGCACAAAGGAGGTGGAAAAGCAGTGATGCAGCTGAGATGCGCACAGATTTGGAAGGGTTCATGCTGATTCTGGATTTGGAAAGGAAAACGTGTGTCAAGCATGCCTGAGGACCTCTGCTTCTGCTGTGGAAGAGCTGACAGGCTCCAAGAACTGTGGCTACAGGAGCCTTCATTTCTGAGGGCTCCTTGTCAGAACTTGTATAGATGTGATTTCTGTTTGCCTTTCTGAATTTCCTTAATGAAATAATTAAAAAAAAAAAAAAAATTCAAAAAAAAAAGCCCCTTTGTGAGCTTAAGACCAGGAGGAAATAATGTGTAGCATCAAAAAGTGCCAGCCATTTTGGGTAAAAATGTTAACTAACTGATAACTGGCTTATTTCTTCATGAACTTGTGCTCGTTTTATCCCCACTGGCTCCTTCCCACCTAGTCTGGGAAGCCTGTATCTGTTTTCTCTCCACTTTCCATTTACATAATCCTGCTTTTGACTCTTGCTTTCAGGTCACCTTGTTCATGCCCATTTTTAGCAAAGTACATAAACAAGCAACGGCCGATCCTGTGTGGTGGGGCTGCCTGGGGATCAGGTAGTGCCCCTGTGGGCTTGACTTCAAAGAGGAATGCTCTGGGAGAAGAGGGTGGGGAGTGTCTGTGTTTGGCTCTCGCTCTGATAAGGCTCTTGTAAAAATTGTCAGGGTTCATCGGCTTCTGGAGGTGACTTCAATCATTAACTCACTCCTTTATCCCGCTGCAGACTCTCAGGCGGATGTTTTTGTGTGCAGGTAGTGTGACGGTCGGTAAGGCTTTGATTTGGTGCTTTCCCTAGCTCCTGTGTGCCTGATGGAGCTCACACAATGGGCTAGTTGCTCATCATTGCTAGGGACTCGGAGTTTTCCTGAGGGACCGTTGAGATGGGATCGTTGAGAGCCACAGCTCTGTTAGATGGCTTCAAGCATTCCACTCTCCAGAGCTGGCTTTTCAAGTGGGCAAAGCCAGATCCTTCCGCCCTGGGCAGCCCTGCCTTATTCAGTGTCTCGGACTCCTTACATCCAGGATCCAGAGCAAAGTGTGCTCTGAGGATTGCTGTGTGGTGCACATGGTGACTTCTAGGCCCTTCCTCCTTCTCTGCATCTTGCTTTCAAGAGCAGGATAGTTATCCTGTGTACTCCCTCCTGGCGTTTATATTCCTCTCTCCTTTTCACATGCATTCTTTACCTAGGACAGGGATTTGTATGGATACCTGTCCCACATGCAGTGCTGTCTCGCTGCTCTCCCACAACACAGGTGAAGGGGAGGGCTCAGGGGCAGGGCAGTGCTTGGCACCTCTGTGCACTGCCAGCGGAGAATTTGGTGGCATCGCTTCCATAGGGAAAGCTGTGTAAGCAAGCCGACTGCTTGCAGGGTGCCTGTCAGATCAGTAACATGCTGAGCACCTCGACGGTTGTAACAGGTTGTGTGAGCCACCCGGAGTTAGATAGCAGCTACTTCAGTCTGACTCTCGGTTCTTCTCCGTGGCCAGTCTGAGCTCCCTCCCTGGGAGCCAGCTGGAGACGGAGGGGATCTCTTCCTGCTGTAGTCGCTACTGGACACACCACTTGCTGGAGATCTTCAGGGCTGTTGCAGCCTCTGTGACTTCTTGTACTTGGTGGGGGGCTTCAGCTGTTCAGTCCTTAGTACCCTTTCCTCTGAAGCAATGAAAAACATGACAGAGCTCCAAGATCAGTGTCTGAGCTGTGGGCCCTGCAGCCTGGCTGCAAGACCTGACCTTCCTCCTGCTTGGCTTTCCAGCAGCAGGAGCTGATCTGCAGCCCCGAGAGAAGCCTGCCTGCCCCCTCTGCCCATGCTCTGCTGGCCATCGCCCTGGAGATGGAGCTCTGGGTTGCTTCTCCCAGAGGGACCACAAAATGCAATCAGGGTCTCCTTCCCTCCCCCTTTAGAAAACAGAACGGTGGAGGGGAGGTGCTGGTGCCGCAGAAACCCCTCGATGCGTGCTTGGGAGAGCGGCACTGGTGTGTAGATGGCTGCAGTGGCTACTTAGTGAGCCTGTCAGGCACAAGGCTTTACCTGTTCTTGGCGACAGGAATGTGTGTGTTTGGGTACGTCTGGGGCCTTGTTTTCTGCACAGGCAGCTGCTTGTGTGGCTGCTGATGGGCCTAAGGACACAAGGGTTTGGTCTCCTTCCCGCATGGCCTCTGTGTGCAGCCAGAACAGCCACTAGCTATGCTGATACGCTCTGTCTAAAGGCAGCATCTCTCAGCAGTGAGCTGCCCAGAGGAGCGTGGTGAGGACGCTGTGCCTGTGAGGATATAACAGGGAAAAAGGTTGGCCATCTTGCCAACAGGAATTAGGTTCCCTTCCAGCACAACTGTCCAAGAAGAGCATGCTATCACAGGTGAGAAGTCCAGCAGGAGCTCTCCTGTGAGGACTGTCTCCAGATCTCCAGCCTCCCTGGATTCGATTAGCTTGCTTAACCTCATCAAATTCAGTCTACTGCTTTTGCAAAAAGATATTTGCAGCCGTGGTGTTTGGGGTTACGGTGTTGGGCAAGTTTGTTTTGCCCATGCATCAGGTGATGGTAAGTTTTTGGTTAGAGAAGAATGTCACCATGGACTTGAAGATGTGAAGGTTGTCTCTGCTCTCTGCAGATGCCCAGTGCAGGCTCTGGATGTGCAACTGCACAGCGACATCTCTTTATGTATGAATCCGTGTTTCAGGCGAGAATTACTGGGTATGAGAAAGGTTTGGTGCTGGTGTGGAATCCCTGCTCCCACCCTAAGGAATGCCAGAGTGTTCTCAGTCTATCCCAGCATACTGCCAAAGATTTGGCAATCCTGCCTTGCTGTGGCTTGTGCCTACTGCTCTTCTGAGGCTATGGCTACGCTGCAGCCTGCAGCATGGGCCTTGGGAGGCCTTTACGCAGTGCTTTGGGCTGAGCTAGCTGGCACAGCGAGTTCAAGCCCCGAGGCCTGCCCAGGATCCTGGGCAGTTTGCACAGCCTCTGTGGATGTCTGTGCTGCTGTGACTTGCTGCTGCCAGCCCTCAAGCCAGCAGTGTCAAAGTTGGCCCAAGTCACATGTGTGCAAGCGCAGTCCCTGCCCCTGGGTTGCAGTGAGTGTAGTTCCAGTCTGATTTCTCCAGGGAAGGGCAAATCTGCTGAGTACAGACTCTCACAATGGATCGAGCTCGCTGAGGTCAGGGTGCTCTTCATCTGTCCACTCTCTCCCCTCAGGAAAGAAAGCGGTGATGGATTCCAGCCCGTTCCTGTCGGAGGCCAATGCGGAAAGAATCGTGAGAACTTTGTGCAAGGTCCGGGGAGCAGCGCTGAAGCTGGGACAGATGTTAAGCATTCAGGGTAAGTGGTAGTGTAGGTCCTCGGCCATCTTCCTTGGCAGCGCTGCCGGAGGAGGCGCTGGGGGGGCAGTTGATATCTTGTGATACGTGGTCAGCACTCTGCAGTCAGTGTCAAGTGAATGTGGAGGGACTAAGCAAGTGGCTTTCTCCTGTGAGAGCAGTGATGGAGATATGCCTGATGCAGTTCAGTTGATATGCCTATTCCCAGAATGACATAACTAGACACATGCAGTACATACCGCCGCTTTCCCAATGCCCCTGCTGTGTCAGGCACCCAAGTGAAACTGGTTGAAAATAAGGTGATGTTCTGTATGAATTTTAGTGGCTGCATTAAAAGTAATTATTGAGAAGCAGCGCTATGTCACACTGTGCACAGGTGTCCTGCTGAGGAGGAGGAGGAGAAGACCAATGCAATCCTGTTCTTTATTCGCCAGAAGCGGTCAAGGTTACACCGCAGCCCTCTCCCATTACACCGTGTTTATGGTTTAGGTGCTTTGTGGGCACTGAAGCTTTGCTGGGAAGGCCAGCACAACTGATGAGTCTTGTCAGGTAGAAAACACTTGTTTGCATCTTGAGGAGACTTCAAGCTGGTACTTACTCTGCTGGGCTCTGATGTGGGTGACAGCAGGTGAAGGCATGAGGGACATGGGTGCCTGCCCTGAAGTGCTGGGTTACTCCTGGAAGATAGCAGGTGTGCTGAACTCAAACCTTATCTGGACCTGTCCATTTTGCCTTCCTGCCCAACTTGATAAGGGAAGGAAAGAACCAGCCAAAAATAGCTGTTACGCTTGTGTGGAAATAGCTTTCGAGATGTCACTGAAACTGAGTCAGTGTCTGAGTGTTTGAAGTACTCGGCTTGCTTGGCTTGTTCTTCTACTTGAATTTTTCTAGGTGTTGACTGATGAGGCAGGATCTAGTATTGTATTAAATATCTTGGTCTAGCCAATAAAGGAGGACCAGCTCCCTGTTCCAGAGAGCCCTGAGCGTGGCATTTCATCGTTCTTCACTTGCTAACGGCTCGTTTAGGGTGCATGCCGGGCTGATGGCAACACTAGCAAAGCGAGGTGGGAGGCAGCAGCTGCTCTGTCGAAGGCTGCTGCCCGCGTGCTGTTTTCTCACCCTCTGGGAACTGCGAGGTGCCAAAGGCAGCTGGGTCGCGGTGTGGATCCAGGAGGAGCTCTTGTGCTCCTTCCCTTCTGTGGAAAGCGCCTCTGGTATGTGGGGAGAGTGAGCCATGTCTGGAAATGGCCTCTGAAGTTAACGTATCTGCCATAGGTGGGGATGAATTTAAAATTCTTCAGGCACTATTGAGTTACACCTAGTGTGTGGCCAGAGCCTTGTCACAGCTGCCCTAGGCTGGGGTGTGAGTAAAGACGGAGTAGCTGTGAAAGGCCAGCTCTGAGGAACAGAAATGCTCTGGATTGTTGTCCCTTGCCTGCTGTCTCCGCATGTTGCTGAGCTCTGGCAGGAGGGTTGGATGCTTGCCAACTGGCTTCGTTTGGGAGACAAGGACGTACCAGCCTTCAGCAACCTCAGTGGTGCTGTTGAGCCCTCATTTGACTCCTGAGGGGAGTGCGGATGCCGAAATGCCTGGTGAGAACACAGGCCCCTGGTACCCCTGCTGAGGGACAGTTGTGGTGAAGTCAGTCAGACACTCCCAGCAGCGCAGAGTGTCTGGTTCTTGGGCTGGCTGTTTGGGTGCCACTTCACAGACTTCCCTGTGGCCTGGTGACTCTCTTGAATTGGCTTCTATTAACAGGGATGTGTGCTAATTGAGCACAGGGGCTCTGTGTTGCCTTGTCCAGGTGCAGCTGAGCATCTCTGAGCTAAACCACCCAGAAGTGCCAAACCAATGTCCTTAAAAACCCTGCTGTCTTCTTCAGGGAGTCAATGGATTTGTTAGGGACCCACATCCCTGGAGGTCATGCACAGAAAGGATGCCACGGGCCCAAAATCAGCCTGTGTTCTGGTGCGTGGGTGCTGGGGGATGTTGGGAAGGCAGCTACGTTTGTCAGTTGAGGGTGGCCTGCCTTGCCTCTTGCTTTGTGTTTCCTTCTGGTAAGGCCTCGTCAGGTCACCACAAAGAAACCTCATTCAGCAGCGTGTTGTAAGGCTCGTTTTGTCAGAGCCACCCCTGCAGCGGGACTGACTTTCACCGTTGCTGCTGAGCTTCCGTACAGTCAGCCTGGACTTGCGGGTTTCTTGGCCGTTCAGCGTTGCACTAGCAAACATAGTGGTGGTCAAGCGGCCCCAGATAAGAAAGCCCCCTTGGACCAAATGTTTTGTGGATGTCAGCAATAAGCAAAATAACAGAAATTGATCCTAAATGCCTGTGGCAGACCCTGGTACCTTTACACAAATGGCTTCTTGGGAGCAGCAGTCACTCTAGCGAGGCCTGCTCTCTCTGCACAGCCATCCTGGGAGGAGCACGGTGGCCCATACCTTCGCATACCCCGAGAAGAGTTGCTGCAGCATTCAGCAGCTTGGCAGCGACACACCATTGATGATGCAGCCGAAGTTTCTGTCAGTGTTTAGAATGTGCCAGGAAAGGCAGCGTTTAGCCTTCTTGGGGGTTTATAACATCACAACGGGAGTTTCACTCGCTGTTCCTGCACAGCCTGTTCATCACCGACCCGTACTGACCACAGGATCTCTTCTTAAACTCCTGTTGATGCCCAGTGAGGTTTTGTTAGTACTTTTAAATGCTGCTCATGGCTTCGGTGGGAATTTCTAAACCATGTTGAGTGTTCATGTTGTGTCTCTGTGTTAGTAACTCTTCCTTGCCATCCCTTTCCACCCCTCTTCCCAGGACAGCGCTCCCAAGGTACCTGTTACGTGCTCCCTGGGATAGACTCGCGGTTGCACATGCATCTGTAAATGCAGAGGAAGGATGGATTTTGACAGGAATGTCGTGTGTGTGCAGGCTCGGTTCTTGAGGTTAAGGCTGGTAGCTGGACTCTTGTCCAGTGTTGGGAGAGCAGCAGACAAATCGAATTCCTCCGTAAGCCTTTGACATGAGAAGTTTGCCAGAACTGGTGGCTTTTCTCTGGGCTGTCATAGAAGCTTTTGCTCAAAGGAGAGGAATAATCTTTCACAATGCCCCTACGACTCCCCTTTCTTATGAGTGTGAATATTTGCTTGCTAAATCCTTCTGACTCTTAAAATAACTTACTTTTGGCTCAGCTGTGTTTTCTTCTGCCCACTTGCAGCTGCTTTGCATGTGGGTAGTTTTTTGATGCTGAATCCTGATTTCTCAGAGTTCAGTACTTGTGTAAGTGGTGCTTTACCATTGCACAGCTTTCTGAAGAAGCTGCTGCCCCTTAAACTGGATCAAACCACGGCATGGACCTGGGAGTGTTGGGCTGCCTCTCTGTTCCTTCTGTGCCCTGTGTTTCCATGACGCAGTGTCCTCTCCTAGACCGAGTGCCGTACTGCCGTCGGCAAGAAGATGGGCTCGTGGCTGACGGGCTTGTGGTAGTTGGGATGGGGTGCCCAGAAACTGTCTCCTGTGGTAGCAGGGGGGTAGCTCAGGAGATATTTGGGTAATACGCAGTTTTTTTGCAAGAGTGAAAAGGAAGGAGGAGCTTTTCCCCTTTTATTTTGCTACGTGTGCGCAGGACTTGCGTGGCTCATTTCTGAAGGTGTGATGCCCCAGGTGCTGCTTCTGGGTATGACTCATTTCTGAACTAGAGTTATTTCCAAAGCCTTCACTGGGGTGCACCTGGGGGCAGGACAGCCTGGCTCCTCTGACCGCAGGCGCGTGTTCCTGTCCACGCTGCGGAGCTGGAGAACGGAATGCCTGCACTGACTGCCGTCTGCTTTTCCCTTGGCAGATGATGCTTTCATCAACCCCCATCTCCAGAGGATTTTTGAGCGTGTACGTCAGAGTGCTGACTTCATGCCGATAAAGCAGATGATGGTGAGGAATATTCCTTCCTGCTTTCTCAGGGGGTTTTTAAGAGTATTCTTTCAGGAGTGCTGTATATTTTCAATTGTGGGAAACATCTGATTCCTCCTCTCAATTGCCCTGCCTTTTTTCTCCAAAACATGGAAGCTCAGCTCTAGACAGAGGGGAAAAATGAAGCAAACTAAGTTTTGCTTTCCCCAATGTAAGTGTTCTCTCTTTCTCTCTACCTCCCTCTCTAAATTAAGATGGGAAGGGAGGTGCAAAAGGAATTGCACTACTTACCTTCTGAAAGACACTGAGCAGAGCCAGGACTTAAATACGGCACCCTGGCAATGTGGCAAAAAAGCTGTTGAAGCAGGCTGTGATGATTAATTGTCAATAGTACTTTAAAGAGAGTCGCTCCTGCATGTCTGGGTTGCTTCTGTTCAGCCTGGCAGCGTGATGAACGAGGAGAAATGCCTAACTCCTTACTCATTTTCTGGAAGATAACAAGTGGCACCAAAAAGGGGACTTTTGTATTGCTAAGGCAGTGGTGGTTGTGCTCTCTGTCCTTTAGGCCAGAGCAACAGCCTGAGAGATGTGCTCAGCATCTCTTCAGCACTGGGGCAGCACTGTGCTGGACCCCCTCTCGCGATGGTGTGTATCGAAGGGAGGGCAGTCTAGAAAGCAGGGGGTGTAGGTACTCAGAACTACTGTAGGCTGTGGACTCACCTTAGAGAAATGTGATTTCCAGTAGCAAAAAATCTTCAATCTTTGCTTCCCTTACCCTGATCCTTTCTTTTTATTTGTAGAAAACTCTGAACAACGATCTTGGCCCCAACTGGAGGGATAAACTGGAGTCCTTTGAAGAACGCCCCTTTGCTGCTGCTTCAATTGGTCAGGTTCACCTGGCACGCTTGAAAAATGGGAAAGAAGTTGCCATGAAAATCCAGGTGGGCATTACAGACCAGGTTTCTCTCTTGTCTGTGCCCCATAGAGGGATGGGGGGAGCTGCATAAGTATGTTTACTGCTAGACAGATAAGAAATGTTTCAATGTAAGTGAAAACTTGAGTCCAGCAATAGTTTACCTAGTACAAGTACAAGGGAAAGACAAAAATCCATGTGCAGTGTGTTTTATATCCCAAGGGATTGTGGTCTATTGCTGACTGAGCTGGGTCCCAGACAAAGCTGGTCATCTGGCTGGTGTGTTTTGTATAGTGGGAAGACTTTAGGCACAGTATGGAAGGGTACGGGTGTCTTTTTGTGTCCAAAGTACTCCCTGAAGGTAGGCCAAGGCCGTGGCAGCAGAAAGTAACCCTGTGGCATCAGCACATGTTGTGCTGCACAGCAGTGTAGGCCAGTTCCCTTTGTGACAGACAAGGTGAGGAGGAGGCACCTTTGACAGGACTAGGCTGGGCCCTCATCGCTTGCCCCACTGCTGTGTCCCAAATACTCAGGGGCTGCCAGTGGCACATCCTTCCAGCCATGGGAGGGAAGGAGCAACTGCCATAGTTGTTGTGGGATAGCAGCTTTCCAATACCTGAAGGGGCTACAAGGAAGCTGGGGGGGACTTTTTACAAGGGCCTGTAGTGACAGGACAAGGGGTAACAGGATTAAACTGAAAAAGAGGAGGTTTAGATTAGATATCAGGAAGAAGTTCTTCACAGAGAGGGTGGTGAGGCCCTGGAACAGGTTGCCCAGAGAAGCTGTGAATGCCCCATCCCTGGAAGTGTTCAAGGCCAGGCTGGATGAGGCTTTGAGCAACCTGGTCTAGCGGAAGGTGTCCCTGCCCATGGCAGGGGGTTGGAAGTAGATGGTCTGTGAGGTCCCTTCCAACCCAAATGGAAGGGTCCCTGTCAGAAGATCTGAACAAGCCATTCTGGTTGCACAGAGCTGCAGCCTAGCCTGGCTACCTGTCCCCTGGTTTAGATGCTGGGCTTAAAATAAGCTTTTAGAAGGGGTGTGTGTGTGGCTGAGGTATGCCCTGGTTCATTGCTGGGCTGCAGGTGGCTGTGGTGTGGGGGTCTGTGGGTGCTGAGCTCTGCACAACCGGGTTACCTAGTCTCAACTCTACCCTCTCCTATTCTGTCCTGCAGTACCCTGGAGTCGCCCAGAGCATCAACAGTGACGTTAACAACCTGATGACTGTCCTGAGCATGAGCAATATTCTCCCAGAAGGTAAAAAGACAGACCCTTGGCAGGCCCCATGTTCTCACTGGTGCGTGTTGAGTTCTGCCAACCCCTTTCAAGCAGCGCGTTGCACTTCCCTCTGTAGACCAGAGGCAGGAAACAGCCTCCAAACAGTGGAAGACACCTAAGAATGGCTACGTCTGCTCAGGAGCAGATCTGCAGATAGGAGGAAGCCTGTGTTGGTCTTCCCTGGCCGTGTATATGCATGCGCCTGCCAGAGCAAGGTGCGCTTGTCTCTGCCTCCTTCATAGTGAAGGACTCGTGGGGGCTTTTGGCAAAGTACAATACCTGGGTGTACTCACTTTCGATGGCTTTCTAGGCACGAAGCATGGGCAGCATTCAGGTTAGGCAGTCGTGCTTTGTCCCTGCTATTTTCTAGATCTTGTTCTTCATGTTTCCTCTAGCCCTCCATGCCTGCTGTTCTCTGCTCTTCCCAACCAGAGTTGTGGAGAACAGTCAGACCTGGAGCTTGCTCAGTGTTCCAGCATGTTGTTAAGTCCCTTTTCCTATAGGGAATGCAGGACTTACTACTCCTTTTTTCCAAATATCTGCCTGCAGCAGCTGTAAATCTTCATGGGACTGTACAAATACTGCTTTAAGTACCAGGCTGGGTGATGACAAGGTCTGGGACTGGTCCCCGTGGTGCCTGGGCAGGGCCCTGCCAAGGCTGCTGCAGCCCCAGCTGTGTCTGGCCCGAGGAGTAGATTGCTTTTCCAGCTCCAAGACTATGACTGGACTTGGCAACTCATGCCCTGGCTACGTGCTGCTGCAGTCACTGTCTTGGTCATGCTGAGTGTTGCTGACTGGCAGCGCCTGCTCCCGGTTGTAGGATAGGGTTTGGAGCCTTTTTTGCTGCTTTTGCCTAGGCTGGGGTTTGGGTGCTTCTGCTCCTTGGTGTATGTCTGCACAGCCATGCCCATAGCAGGAACAGACAGCTTGGGCTGTGGGGTGGGAGCTGGGGGAGCACGGAGCACCGCCGTACAGGAGCTGCTGCATAGCCTTGACCTGGGATTACTCGCGGAACTTGTATCTATCTGGAGATGCGCTTGGGTTCGCTGGGGCCTCTTGTGATCTTCAGCTCAGAGCTGGCCAACAGCAGGTTGCACCTCAGCTCCGGTTCTGGGAAGCTTAGCCCCAGGGGTCCTTTCTTCTCAGCCTACCCTCTTCTCCACTGTTTGACTTCCAGGTTTGTTCCCTGAGCATTTGATTGAAGTCCTGAGCAGAGAGCTGGCTCTGGAGTGTGACTACCAGAGGGAAGCGGCCTGCGCAAGGAAATTCCAGTATGTGCACGCTGTTGCCTTCGGCCCCTCCTCTGTGTGTGTGTGTGTGTGTAACACGGGTGAGGCTGCCTAACTTCAGGGACAGTGGGGAGGTGAACGATGTGCCCTCGGATGTAGCACAGGGGAAGGGCCTGTGTCTGTGGCCTGAGCTATGCCACAGAATTACCACCTTGTCTCAGCCAGGCGTGTTTTTGGGCAGCTGGAACGTGACGGTGTATCCTTTCTCCTTCAGTGCGAGCCTGAAGTGTAAAGGTACTGCAGTAACTCCTGAGGCCACTCGTATCTCAGCTTGTTGTAAGCTTCTCCCATCCTTTAGGATTTCTAGTTTTTCACTTCAGCTCTTAAAAATTACCACCACCAGCACTGCCTGCTTCTTTGGCTTCCTGTAGCAACAGGGTCCAGACTGTGTTTACACTGAGGTTGGACCAGGGAGAGCTGCTGGAGGCTGGATGCCCCTCCTGTCCCTCTGCAGAACTGCCCCTGTGGCATTGCTGCCCTAGGGAAAGGCCTGTTTCCGCAGGTGAGGTCTGGCCCAGAATCAAAGGGGGGTGAGCAGAAGAGCCCAGTGCACCAGCCTGCACCCTCCTAAGGTCACTGCTCTGGCAGGAGACGTGACTGCAGGAGCTGCCAGCTGCTGCCAGTGACTGGCATGGGTTCTGGTGACTCGATCCCTACTGTAACTGCAGAGGAAAACATCTCCGGCAGCCTCAGCCAGGGTGTGGGGAGAGGTGGTGCGAGGGGGGCTGTGCGAGGGGTTGTGGAGGGGCCCAGCTGCTCTCGGGGCTCCTAATCTTTTCCTCTCTCTATCCCCCAGGGAGCTGCTGAAAGACCACCCCTTCTTTTATGTCCCAAGAGTAGTAGATGAGCTGTGCAGCAAGCACGTCCTGACCACAGAGCTGGTGTCTGGCTTCCCCTTGGATCAAGCTGTTGGGCTGAGCCAGGAGATACGAAATGAGGTACTGGGGGGGTGCTCTTGCTTCTGCCCGTGCTCAGAGCAGTGTGCTCGGCCTGCCTGGGAACTGGCACACCAGGGATGTGCTGTGGAAGGCAAACCCGTAGCAGTGCAAAGCTGCCTACAGCCTCTTGGAAGACTTGTGTGTAGGGGATTAAGGA